AAAGAGGCTCCAGGAGCACTCAAGAAACCCCTCTTGCTCCAGGCTGTCCCGTCCAAACACACAAGATAGAACCCAGGACCAGTACTACGGCGCAGTATTGTCCTGCTCCTTTTAAGAGACGGCTGCTAGCCTTGTTTACTTAATTTGAAGCACCTGCACATAGCAAGCACTATAAAACCACACACGTCTTCCAGGGAGACTTTCAGGGTCTACGGATGGTAAACAAGCAAGTATTTTCTTATGGAAATGGCTTTGTGCTCTGAAATAGCCAGACTTTTTGATTTTTAAACTCTTCATCTTCTTTTGATGGTATTTGCCACAAAAATCTGACATCAACATTTTGACCTGTTTAAATGAGTTGACTGTGTGCTGCACGTTTTCTTAATTTGGAATTTTAACTTGCACCTGGACTTCCTTTATTCTGGTCAGCAGCCAGAGCAGAAACACATTTGTCTCTGAAACTTTTCTGATTAAATGCAATAGTAAAAGCCTATTTCCACTTAAATACTACAAAACTATACCTAAAATTACTTCAGTAATGATTACAGTAAACACGTTTGCAGACATGTGAATTAACTCTAGTATTCTTCATGCCTCTTCAATGCCTCTGGGCAGCATGACTATCAGGATTAACTGTCCTCCAAAAAGGGAGGATTAGCATCAATAAAGATTCCTAAAGCCACTGCTAGTAAAAATCAAAGCAGATGAAATTATGAACTATACCAAATGAATTCTGCCAGCATTTCTGTACCTGTAGCAGGAGTTTAACAAGCAGTCTCCACAGGATACACAGACATACATAGATTATTTGTACTGTGATCTTTTCTTCAATAGAGCTCCCCAGTTTACATTGCCACACCTTGCAGTGTAAAGCCAGGAAAAAAGGGTGACTCTCATCTAGAAACCGGAAATAAATATACATTTGCTGACATGCACCACACTTGTCCAGCCTCACATATCTGTGAGAAATTGATGGTAAGGTGCTCCTCTCTCAGCTGGCTCAAGTGGAGATGAACAGTTTCTCACCATTTTCATTTTCTGAAGTGGCAGAGCTCTTTCACATCACTGAAAGGGTTCTGACTTATGCTGCCTGAGAAAAAACAAATCTCCACTCAATGAAAAATCAAAGGTCCCTGGAAACAATTACATCAACTAGGAAAGTCAAAATAACCATCTGTTCCCCCCGCTCACCCCAGGGCTCAAGTGCTCTCTCCTGTCCAGGCCTGCTGATCCCCATGTCTTTGGCTGGCTGAGCATCTCTCCTACCTTGCTGTACTCTGGATCACTCCTAGCCTGTGCTCCATGAATTTCTAGCATAAATCAGAAGAGAAAAATCCACAGAATCTGCCCTCGGTGCAATTTCTGCTCAACACATTCAACAAGCAACTGGTCTTAAGCAGCAAAAGGATTTTTACCTTTTTCACCACAAATGTTTTCCACCAGCAAACATTTTAATATTTTTAATTAAAAGTGCCATTTCTGGAGAAGTTTTACAACAGTAACGCAGCAGTAAGAAAGCATCATACAAACCAACACTGAAGAGCGAAGAATTATTTAAGCTTTTAAAAATAAATCTTCTCCAGACTGTCCAGTGCAAGGTAAACCAAAAAAATCATTACACATATATCATAAAATGACACTTTCCTCAACTATATAAATTGATCTACTTGCCATTACCCATAAATTCTTTTTGGGTTCTAACAGTAACACAAGGGGACCACTTTGCCCATGAAAGCACACGAGTTTGGCACCCACTGATTTTACCCAGTGCCTGCTGTCTCTGGAGATAAACATCTTGCGCCATTACTGAGTGACAATAAAGTATTTAACATGCTACTGTTGGAATCTGGATGTACACAGAAATATGAGCAAACACATTTCTACATATTAAGTTATGGATGTGCATTTAAAGAAATGTCCCTTCCAAAGTTGTGGGGCTAATTTAGGCATTAACAAGTCATATAGATTTAAGTTATGATATCTGTGAACCAAAATTGAGATGCATAAAATACACACATTATGCAACAGCTGAAAATAATTTTTCTCAAAACTCTTTTTAAGATTTTCCATGAGAACTTCAGAGAGATATCCAAAGAGAAAATACAGCTGATACTTGAATCTATTTAATAAAATATAAAAATTCTACCATAAATTAATGTTAAGATTGTCTATGCAGGCAATCATTAGTCACGCCAAAAATATGTGCTCTGGTTAATTTCTCTAACAATCAGCACATACTGCTTTTCTACAATGTTAGCATTTAACACTGGGCTAAAACAAAATGTGAGCAGAAGCATACAGGTTTTCACATACATAAAACACAGTCAAGAATAAAATTAATACTTACTCTAAAATTCTATATTTCTTCAGCCAAGTGCCTATTTGTGCAGCATTAATATTGCATTAACAGCTTTTGCATATTATTTTTTTCTAGAAACAATATTCCTAATCTTTGCAATAACAAACGTATTCATGTATCAAGATGACTAGAACTCATCCTTAATATCCTCCACTATTGGAATTCTATTACGCAAAAAACCAAACTCTTGGCAACACCAAATGCTTTCATATACCCAGGCTGCTGCCTTCATTGTTAGTTTTAAAAAGATGACAGTTAAAATCAAGCATACTATTTTGTCACGTCAGTGGAATTCTTAATTTTATTTTTTTTTTAATTCCAATTATTTACCAAATGCATTATTTAAATTATGAACAAATTTCTTTGTTTTTCAGTGTGGCAAATGGGGAAAAAAAATAATTCAGTTTAACCAAGAAAAACAAACACCTGGAGACATCCCCATCCAAAGGTCTCTTGGCAGTTGTAAAGAACCTGCAGCCCATTTCCTTTGCCACTGAGCCCTCTCTCTGGGCAGCTTCCAGAGTCTCTCTGGCACTCCCAAATGTTCTGGAATGGAATTTGCAGTGTAAACAATTGTCAGCACTTACATTACTGTAAATTACTTACAGTAAACTCATAGAAGACTGTAGGATACTTTAAGGCCTTGTTAAGATTGCAATAATTATTCCCAGAAACTGAATTAAGGGAGCAACTAGTGCTTAGAGGCAAATCCAGGAAAAATACCATGATGTGAAACATGAAGACAACTTTGAGCAGAGAGCAAACCTAGAATGATTTTCCCTCAACAAAAAAAGTTTGAGCACCATGTAAACCATATAGAAAAAAACAATGTTTAATGATGAAAACCATTCAATGTGCTTGTCACTATGACTGACATCAAGATGAATACCATAGGTACATTACCTAGGGGTGATCACTGAACAAAGTAAAAATTTCCTCAAAACATCCTCACCACCTTGGCCTGTAGGACAGCACAGCAACACTTGTGAGAACCCACAGCTTGGAAAACCTGGATTTTGACAGCACGAACTATTTTGCATTGGCAAGGAAAAAGTGTTCCCACCCAGTTTTTGTAGCTACACAATTGCCTGTCAACAAATTGCAGGCTTTCAGACATATTCATATATTCTAAAAATATTGTGTAAGCATTTTTAGAATATAAACAAAACCAAAACTGGTTCAGAATCTCTTTTTCAACTGCTAAATGTCTAAATACATTTAGTGACATAAACCAGCAAATAATCGAGCCAACACTCATGTAAAAAAATTCCAATATATAGTTACTTGAATTTTTCAGAGAACAGTTTCGACTCTCTTTTTGAGAGTAAGTTTTAATAATCTGTCCTTCCTGAAAAATATTTCAGCAGTTAATCATAATTTGAACCATCTCATTTAAGAAATGAGAAATTTAAAAAAGGGACTAGGAAAAGATCAGAACAATCCATTTTATTCATAATCAAATCAGTATATTCATAAATGAATAAAATAGTGTAGAAAAAGAGTGAAGTGCAATTCTTCAACCTAGGTAGGTCAAATCCTTACTGTGCTGCAGTATCTCAGGCTGTCAGAGAAAGTTTATGAAAATGGTGGGGAGTTGGAAGAAACACAATTGGGCAAACAAAAGCAGCTGAACTGTTAGGATTTTGGATCACAAAACCATACCAAGAAGTCACATAAATCACTACCTGCTGGTCTCCACAATCAGGGCATTTGCAGTGTGAAGAACATATGCATTAATGAAGTAACCAATGCAGAAGCTGCAAGTGTGACCTATTAAAGACTGTGTTTAGGCCAGTCTATAACAGCTTGATCTAGCAGGGCCCTGGAAAGCATTGTGCTGCTCTAGAAGGGCCAAAAATTCACATGAGCAGCTATTTCCACTCATCTGCATTACAAGGTTTACAAAGGAAAACAAAGAAGGTTTAGTACGGGGAAGGAATTCTGATTCAGGTGCTCAAACAGTTCATCATTTTTAGACAGAAATTCTATATAATTTCACACTGGTTTGAAATCTGAGTGTGAGATGTTTTACAGGAAGGAAAGAGAAAAAGTATTATTTTGTATTATTTCCAGTAGAAACAAGAGCTCTGATCAAAACAGAAAAATAAATTTCTCATATATGTTCTCTATGAAAACCATACATGTTCTCTATGAAAACCATAACTAAAGATAAGCTTAAATATACCTGTTGATCAAGACAAGAAACTCCGTGTTATTTATGCACAATGAAAACCAGTTTAAAGAGAGTTGCCACTGAGATACTTGTTGGCACATCATCCATTGGAAGTTCCTTTTTATCTTGTGATTGTCTACAGATACTTTTCTCTGTCCAAAAAAAAAAGCCAAGCACATGTGCATTTTAATCATAAAATAGTGAATTGTAACAACGTGAGTTCATCCCCACCAGTGGGCGGGTGCGTTCAGCTTTTTTTTGAATACTGCAGATCATATGAAGTATCTTCACTAAAATATCCAAGGACTTCATCATGTACCCTTTCCTTTTCGCTGTCCCCTTACATTTTCTGTAATTAAGAAGTATCAGTGATTTCTCCTTGCACATACTAAACCAATCTTCTTACAGTTTCTTAAAGGCCACAGAAAGGCAGACCATCTCAAGCAGATCTAATGGGAGGGTGTTGCATCACAACAGCATGGTCATCATGACTGACACAAGCACTGCAACATTGACTGTCCGCTTGCTGCCATCTGACGTTCTTCGGGCATGCAATACAGCAAATACTGCATTTGTGTGGTTCGTTGGTATTTCTACATTGCAAATCATGCCTTCGCAGCAAGAAATGCATTCCTGTGGAGAAAAAGGAGTTCATTTAACATAGGGTAATTCAGCAGTAGCTTTTAAAGATATACGTTCTATCAACTGGTTGCAAAGGTTACAGCTAAACAGACTCATTGTTTCTGCCTGGCAGCCTGGCAGCCTGAGCAAAGGCAGCTGATGGAGCATATATGCTACAACTCCTCTTTCAAATCATGCAGCACAGCCTTCCTAGAGTAACTCATCACCTAGTGCTCTCACCAGGCTTCAGAACTATGATGTGATGTAATACAGCTATGTTAGCTGTACTGACAAGTTCGGTTTTGGTGTCTGAAATCTTTCATGCTAAAAATAACATAACTAACCTTCTCAACTATTAAGGAATTAGTGGATAATCATGGTTTGGTTTGGAAGGGACCTTTAAGGACCATCTAGTTCCAAGCCCCCTACCATGGGCAGGGACACCTTCCACTAGACCAGGTGGCTCAAAG